TCAACAAAATAATTAGTCTAGTATTCATTAACAGTTCAAAAATTAGGTTCTAATCTGTTCCCCATTTATCACTCTCACCAGACAGTATAAAAACAAACTATCAGTGTTTCTGTACTCTTTTAATTTGTTGTTGAAATTGTTGCATTGTTACATTGGCCTCTCTTGGTCTTTGATGAACCTTTAATAAGACAAGTTATTTTTGTCTCATTTTTATTTATCTATTACTTACAAGTCTACCTGATCATTAAAACTATGAATGTACTTTTTGTATTATACAATAAAAATTCTTGCATAATTGTCTTATTCTATTAACCTTTCAAATACATTATTTACAGTGATTAATTATCACACGTAAATGGCAAAGGGGAATAACTCCTCTCAGTAGAATACAAATTAATAGAGCCTTGGCCTGGACCAGAACACTTGACCAAATGGTCCTGATCATGTTCAAAAATCTGGTAAAAATACCCTTCCTTATTGAAACTTTTACTCTTTTTGCCTCTGATATGCCCAGGTGCAGAGAAGATTTTTAATGCATTCTCACTATATAATAAATAGAGCCCCGCCCTAACATCAGAACCTCTGATCCAGGGGTCATGAATTTCACAATTTTGGTAGAGTCACCCTTGCTTATCATAACTATGTATTCAATTTGTTTCAATAATACCCAGGAGTAGAGAAGAAGATTTTCAAAGAAATAATGCACTTTCACTGTATGATCTATATAGCCCCGCCCTAGCACCAGAACCCCTGACCCTGGGGTCATGAATTTCACAATTTCGGTAGAGTCACCCTTGCTTATCATAACTATGTATTCAATTTGTTTCAATAATACCCAGGAGTAGAGAAGAAGATTTTCAAAGAAATAATGCACTTTCACTGTATGATCTATATAGCCCCGCCCTAGCACCAGAACCCCTGACCCTGGGGTCATGAATTTCACAATTTCGGTAGAGTCACCCTTGCTTATCATAACTATGTATTCAATTTGTTTCAATAATACCCAGGAGTAGAGAAGAAGATTTTCAAAGAAATAATGCACTTTCACTATATGATCTATATAGCCCCGCCCTAGCACCAGAACCCCTGACCCTTGGGTCATGAATTTCACAATTTCGGTAGAGCCACCCTTGCTTATCATAACTATGTATTCAATTTGTTTCAATAATACATAGGAGTAGAGAAGAAGATTTTCAAAGAAATAATGCACTTTCATTATATGATCTATATAGCCCCGCCCTAGCACCAGAACCCCTGACCCTGGGGCCATGAATTTCACAATTTTGGTAGGGGGCTCAATGCTTATTACAATCATGCCAACAGTTTGACTGCTTGATGTCCAGGAGTAAAGAAGATGATTTTTAAAGATTGCATTAATTTTGATGGTTTTGGCCCCACCCTCAGGCCCCAGGGGGGCAGGGGCCACGAATTTCACAATTTTTGTTCCCCTTCACCATAGATTCTATATGCCAAAATTGGTTGAAATTGGTTTGCTGGTTCCAGAGAAGAAGCTGAAAATGTTCAAAAGTTTACGACCGACGAACGACGGACGACGCACGACGACGGACGAAAAGTGATAGCAATAGGTCACCTAGTTACCCAGCAAGAGTGACTCAGGTGACCTAAAAAGGCTTTGATTTCAGCTACACTTACATAAAATATTAATATACACTTTTTATAAGATATTTTTTTCTCTTAAAATAAAGGATTTCAATGTATTTTTTATAGGAATCAAATGAAGTAACTTAGGTCTTTTCTAAAGAAGTCTGTTTCAATGACATGTTTTCAGGGTGAAAAAGACTGATCAATATGGGGATATGCATTTTCTAGATACTGTACATGTGTAGAAAGAAAAAGAAAGCTGGTGAAGCTACGCTTTTATTGATTTATAAAAGCAACAGATGTAAATCTAACATTTTAAAGAAAAAAATAAGGTGGTAAACCACTTGTATATATATGAAAAAGATTTTGGTTAAAATCATGTGATGAAAGAAGGGGGTGTACGTCTTCCGGAGAATTCTGGTCAGAAAAGTAACCGGTAAAGAAGAAAAAAATGCATTAAACCCAAAAATGTCGAGTAGAGACCTACTTGAAATTCTTATAAGTTTCCAATATTTTGACATGGATCACCTGAAAACAGAAACGTTTATTATTGACATGAGATATTTTGAAAATGAGGTGACTATAGGGGGTGTACATGTGCCAATACAAAGTCAGATTGTATAAAGTAATTTCTTGCTAGCAAATGAAGGGAAGTAATAAAAACTTTGTCCATATGATTCATAAATGTATAACTCGTATCTCATAAAAAAGTGTCCAAAGCGGAAGAACTCTCATTCCCTAAATAATGTAAAGCAATTTATTAGAAAATTCCTTAGTTAAAGAACTTGATGTGTAAATTCGACGACAAATAGTCGTTCGTCGTGTGTTGTGTTAACATTTAAACATTTCCAGCTTCTTCTCTTGGACCGCTTAACCAATTTCAACCAATTTTGGCACATGGCATCTATGGAAGAAGGAGAACAACAAAAATTGTGAATTTCGTGGTACTCCCTCCTTAGACCTGAGGGGCGAGACCAAAACCGTCAAAATAAATGCAATCTTTGAATATAAATTTTCTTTACTCCCGGACACCCCAAGCAGTCTAACATTTGGTTTGATTGTAATAAGTTTTGGGGTTTTGGTTTTAAGGTGGGCCTTTATTGATAACATATTAAAATGCATTAATTGTTTGAAAATCTTCTTCTCTGATCCTATGTATTTGGCAGATAAACTATGTACATGGTTACGATAAGCTAGGGCGAGTCTTCCAAAATTGTAAAAGATGACCCCTGGGACAAGATTCTGGTGTAGGGCGGGTCTTTATTCGTCATAAAATGAAAATAAAAATGTATAAATTCTTAAAATATCTTCTTTTCCCCTGTATGCAAATTCTATCACAAAGTAGACGATTTAAGTAAATGCATGGTTAGATGAGCAATGGTGCCTCTTCCAAGATTGTGAAATTCACGGCCCCTATATCAGTTCTTGTGGCTGGGGCTTTATCGATTATATAGTGAAAATGCATTAATGCTTTGAAAGTCTTCTTCTCTTGTTCTGAGCATCTAGGGGGCAAAGAGAGTACAAGGTTGTAATGAGGAAAGATGTTTTCACAAGAATTGTGGAATTTTGGACTACTGGATCAAGTGTTCTGGTGCTGGGCAGGGCTGTATTGTTCTTGTAAGGAAATATGTACTCCACTGAGAGAAGAGAAGTTATTTCCCTTTCCTAGTCACATATGATTATTGATTATTAATCACTGTAAATAATGGAACTGATAGATCAATTGAATAAAAACTATATAAAAATTTTAATGTTTATTACGAAAAAAGTAATTCCATAGTTTTCAATGGTCAGATAAACTTTTAAATGATAGATAAAGAAAAATGAGACAAAAATACCTTGTCTTTGTACATCAGATGTTCTTCAAAGACCAAGAGAGGCAATTATGAGAGGAACTGTGATTGGTTTACTATATAAGAATAAACAATACTGTTTTGTTTAGCCTGTGTGGTGATAGTGACAAATGGAGTTAATTACCACTGGCAAGTATTATGATTTGCTAATGAGTACTATATTAACTAATTTGTGGATTCCTAATCATCCCATTTCTCTTGCTTTTTCCCAAGACATCTTCACCTTTTTAAATTTAGATTATAGGTCCTTTAGAGTGATATACTCAAGTGACTGTTAGGGCCCTTGGACCTCTTGTTCATCTATCACTTGTTTGTTCATTTATTCATCGTTTTCTTTTCTTAAAAACAAAGATTTTGTTTACTGAACAATCTATACTTGTAAATGAATAAATTTTGCCAAAAAACTCTGAAAGTTAATGTTACTTTTTGCACTTTGAATATTACATCATAAATATTAGATGATATCCATAAACTATATTATCAATCGTGAATTTAATTCAAAACCTACTTTTATTTTTGATAATCTTACCCAAATAGCAAAAATGAGACAAGCAATTCAAGAGTATTGATATGCACAAAAAAAAAAAAAAAAAAAAAAAAAAAAAATTAATAAATAAAAACGAACCGAAATCATGGGAGGGGGGTCACATGTTTATTATTTTTTGGATTCAATAAACAGCGAATGATTATTCTCAGAAAAAGTTAAGCCCCCTTCCCGGTGCCTGAGAAAGTAAGGCACCTGGTATTCATTTTTAAAAAATTAAAATTCTAATGAATTACGTTTGACTGTTTTCAAAATACAATTCTAACGATAGTGATACATTTATACAAAACCGTTAATTAGATTTACACAAAGAAAAAATCGTGTTCCAGTACATACCTCTGTGATTGTTTTTCTTAAAATTTATGCACGATTTTGTATTTTGGGCGAATGTAAACCAATTTTCTTACTGCTTTATTCCTGCCTTAAAATTGTGAGAGCAAACAATTTGCAAAAATATGCTATTACTTTATCAGCAATGCCATCAATTTTGTTTTCGGCTCTTGCGCAGGACTTCATCCAGTTGTGTATTATGAAAAAGACTTCAGAATTTTACTCTTTTTTCGAAATTCATATTGTAGAATTAAGAATTTATTATTTTCAAGAATATTAACAATTTCATTAACAAACACACACACACACACACACCTTCATCCCTCCCTCTTCCACACACACTATTTTCTAGAAGAATTAAGAAAAGAAATTACCCCCCCCCCCCCAAAAAAAAAAACCCATACATTAATAAAAAAATAGATATATAAAAAATAGATAAAACTTTAAAAAAGAAACCCTATGATCCTATATATTATTTTTACTTAAGAAAAATGCACAGAGTCAGATACAATGCTTAATTTGATAACTTGATTAGAATACTAAATACCGAATATGTTGTTTTGCAACTAAATTAAAAATTCATGTTTAAAGGATATGAACAAGGATATAAATATGGAGACAACACTGACAGATTACTGAATAAATTATAGTCGGTTGATCAGGAGTGGCAAATAATAAACTTTCCATTTATTTTCACTAAACAAAATGAATTCGATCGTGCTTGGAATACTTGTTTTTTCTCTCCCAACATTGTTTTCTTTCCGATGGGGGAACAGATGTATAATACATCCGAAAGGGTATGTATATTTCTACTTCATGTTTCTTTATGGTGGCTATTGCAAGTCATTATGCTATGTCTGTATATTTTTTACCACTAAATATAGTCGTCCGCGTGGCGAAGTGGTTATAGCGTTTACTCTAGAGTCGCGGAGTAAGGAGTTGATCTTTACGTCGCGGGTTCGAATCCCACTGTGGGACGTTGATACCGGTCCTTCGGATGCGACCGTTTCAACCGAGGTCCCGTGTCGCAGTAGGTGCTGGCACGAAAAAGATCTCTCACTACTCAATGGCCCTGAGTGCCGAGTAAAGGGTCACAATTTGCAGCTCTCCACCATCAAGTGGTGGCGTCTCCATATGAGTGAAAAATTCTCGAGAGGGACGTTAAACAACAAACAAACAAACAAAACAAACCACTGAAAATATGAATTCTGTAAATGGATCTGCAGTATGGATACCTTATCTTAGCAACAAACTCTTCAAAATGTCATAAGCATCATATTGTTAGAAATCTTACCTTGTTAGTCCCCTACCTGTGAAACCGGAGGGGACTACATATATATGTTTTCTCTGAGTCTGTCCGTCCGTCTGTCTGTCTGTCCATCTGTCTGTCTAGCTGTCCCTCTGTCTGTCTGTCAGTCTGTACCACTTGGTTTTCCGAACTTTTTTTTAAACGCTTGCAGATATTGAGCTGATTTTTGGTATGTGATTGTATCTTGATGAGTTACAGATCAAGTTTGCATTTCGTTCCGTTTCATTGACTTTTGACGGAATTACGACCTTTTCAATTTTTCAGGGTTTTCCTCAATTTTCTTCTAAACGCTTGCAGATATTGAGCTGATTTTTGGTATGTGACTTTACCTTGATGAGTTATAGATCAAGTTTGCATTTCATTCCGCTTCATTGATTTTTGACGGAATAATTGCATTTTCAATTTTTAACGGGGACCAGAATACACTTGCCGGTAGGGGACTAGTATTGCTAATGCAATACTCTCAGAATGCTTGTTACATTTATCTTCCGGGAAAGGAAATTGCTTGTGTTTGTGTGTGTATGGGAGGGGAGTGTAGGCAACTTCCAATATCTTTAGATGAAAGAATCTGTGCGATACTAGGAAGGAGGGCATCAGAATCTCCGTAAAATTGAAATATACTTCCAAGAAAACTGTATAAAAAGTCAATGCCCACCTCTTGAATCACTACTATACACAAATCATGTTTCGAAAATTTTGTATTATCTACTGTTTGGTTTATTTTGTCCATTATTGTGTCTATAAAACGGTTCATGTTCCAAGAGTAAAAAGCTATTTGTATCCAAAATGATATGAATAGTTGGTAGTTTTTTCAGCAGTGTACCAAATCTCCGAGAAATCCAATTTAAAAACACTGGTGTTTAGACTGATGACAGATGCATGTAGTTGGCTAATGCATTTGTTTATTTAGAATTAATGAATTAATAAATTTCAGCCCCATTTAGGAAAACAAATCCTTTTAAATACTATCTAACAGAAAAACAGAATAAAAGTTTAAAATGAAAACTAATTCATAAAAAATAATATTGAACACCAATGATCCAGCCGCCTATGTGAGAGTATTAGAAATCTTCTCCCTCAATTTGCATAATTTGGTTATCTTGACGTTACTATAAAAATACAAAGTTAAAAATCATTAATTCAAACCAATGTGACGAAATAGAGAAATGAGAAGAAATTAACAGAAGAAAAATTCGCTTTATGGAAATTTCCTTTTTGTGATGTTTTGAAGATTTATACCTGATGGAGAACATCGTGAATACCAAGCCCCCGATAACTGTACAAAGGGTGCCATATACTGGAAATATCCAAAGGAGTATATCATTGTAAATTTTAAAATAGAAAGCCCTGGTAACTTCTCCGTTTGCCTAAGTGAGAGCATTGGAGGCAACATGTTCAGTTTTTATGAAATCACAGGAGATACGCGACATAGTATTCCAAAAGGTACGTATATAAAATTTCCTGTCTGAATGTCCGAAAAAAAATTGATGATTACCTTAACGTATTTGTGTGGATTCATTTAAAAAAAAAATTGTCATTTTATATTTAAAAAAAAAAATGAAGTCTTCTCTTTTGTTTTACAGGCACATGGCCATGCATAAATTCTCAGTTTGGGAATGCTTCTATTGAGATTCATGCTCCAGAAATGCTTCCTTATGTGGGAGCTCTTAAGTATTATATTCAAATTTAGAATACTTGTTTTATAAAAAATTGTAAACCTTATGTGATCCTTTACTGAAATGTGGTAAAGTGCATTGTATTTGAAGAGATGCACTTTAATTTTGGAATGCTTAATTTTTTTGTTTGCACTGGTAAGAATTGATTAGGTTTCAAAAGAAGACTTTTCTTTCCAGAATAACACTATTTAGAGATAACAAATCCATAAGACACACTTGCTATTTTATATTTTGTGCTTTGCTTCGTTTGATCATTTTTTGGTTTTATTTAGAATGATCTTAAGACGTTAAAAAGATTTTTTGCAATATACAAGAAAAAATTATATAGAAAACACACAATGACAAGTAATTCGAGAAAATAGTGAAGTCCAATGAAACTTTTAGTATGTTTAATAATGAAAAACATTTATTCAAAATAAAGAATACAATACAATTTATGTTAATGTTTTTGTTTTGTATTCCCTCACAGAAAAAGGAGAAACTCAAGGTCAATAAATTTATGCAATTTAGGTTGGCGACACTCAGGTAAAGAGACGCACATGTAAAACACTTGAAAACATAGATAGCTCAAAAAAGAGTAGATAAAGCATTTTTCTCTCATATTCACAAGTATTTATATAAACGAATAAATTTATACTTAATACATAAAAGTCAATACAAGAGACCAATGGGCCGCAACGCTCACCTGAGTCTTTCTTTATTAGCAGATATTTTCCTCTTTATATTTCTATTTAAAACTTTTATGACACATGTATATTGTGACCCCATTTTCCCGGGGAGGGGGGGGGGGTCATGGGCCATGATATGAACAGACTTGAATCTACACTAGCGAGGATTCTTTAATATAAATATGACTATACGGGTTTGCTGTTCTTGAAAAGAAGATTTAAAAAAAAAATCCAATATATTTCTATATATTCCTATGTAGAATCCTGATCGTACACTGTGGTCGCATTATTTAAACAAACTTGAATCTGCACTACCTAAGAATGCTCTCATATCAATATGATTGTCATGACTTTGCTGTTCTTGAGAAGAATTGTTACGATTTTTTCCCTTGTATTCCTTAATAAAACTTTGGCTCCCTATTGTGGCCCGACCCTACCCCCGGGGTTCATGATATAAATAAACTTCAATTTTCACTAGGTAATGAAGCTTTCCTATACATTTTATCTTATCTGCGTAGTGATTCTTGAGAAGATGTTTAAAAGATGCTATTAACTTTTCATTAATTCTTAATTTTTCTTCCCTTGAAAGAGGGTGTGACCTTTATTTGAAGAACCTGATTACACTTTACCCAAGGATGTTGTGCCAAGGAAATTGACCCAATAGTTATAGAGAAGATGAATTTATGAAAAGTTACGACAACAACGACGATAACAAGAGGCCCATGGGCCACAACGCTCAACCACTTAACTATAGACCTGCTGTTCTTCAACAGCAGATATTTTTCCTGACCTATTCCAATGTATAAATGTATATAGTCATGTGGTGAACTAGGGAATCATCATTTTTAGGAGGGTGTGTTGTGTAGCGCGGAACATATAAGGTGGACATAGTTATGTCGTTGAATATTTCTCTTGAGGAATTTTTTCGTGCATATTGGAAGTAGACTCGATAACTGGACTGACATACAAACAGAAACAAAAAAGCCTTGTCAAAACTTACACATATCCTCCCGTTTGAAGGAGATACATGTACAATAAAACATTTTATTATATGATTGAATCATTCCTAGCTCTCTCTGATGGACTGTGATCCAACTTTGTAGAATGAATACCAAGTTAAATTCACCTGCCGAGACTTCCATGTTAACATACATTATTTATTTTGTCTATATTGGATTTGAACTAGATCGAGAACTTCCAAATTGATACAATGAATTATTTAAAGTTATGCTCACCTGAACTCGACCTTCCGGGTGAACAAAATAGTAAACTAAATATGAAAAGTTATTTCATATACACCATACTTCCAGGTAAACATAACATTTTTTTCTACACAACACCAAATTTAGATTAAGATTTTTAAATAAATATATTTTAATCCCTCTTCTCTAACTGCCATTGATTAGGACTTCAACAAATGCAAACCAAAAAAGATTGCAAGGTTTGCTTAACTAGTTTGTTTCATCTTATCATTGAATCATATAATAGGACAATGGTCCTTTTTCTTTTTATCTAATGCCATGATTCAGCTAATCTCGAAGTGCAATATCCACCTCGCCCTCGGGCTAGGTGCTTGAATCATCGTACCGACCCCAAAACAGCAGAAATTGTAGAATATTGAATTCAGGACTTGTATTAACTTTGCAGTTTTGCTGTCTATCAATAATATTCTTATAGAAAATATTTTAATAATTACATCTTTGCTAATCTTTACTGGTCTATTGGAGTTATTCTTCGTGCACCACCGTGCACCTTCAACAGTTACTGTACTTTATTCTTTCCTAAATAAATGTGCTTGGATATTAATGAATTAAACTGATGCTATCTTTGCTGGTTTGTGAAGTTAAATCTATGTTTCTATATTACATCAGGATAAGACCTTTATGAATGTTTCCATACATATTTTACAAAGTAAAGCCTTTTTTACACTTAAGAACAACTTTGCAAGATTTTTCCTATTGTTTAAATGCAGAACATTTAAATCCCAACCTAGACCCGAAGTTTGTTTGAATATTACTTCGGAATTTTCAAGCCTGATTTTGAGAGGATGTTTTTTTCTCAATTTTTTTCATCTACATTTCGAAGTAAAACATTAAACTTTGCAGAAAGAATTCAATGATTTTTTTGCCCCAGACTCTTTTTCGATAGACTTATAAAAATCAAATAAACCTATATATATTCCAGGAATACCGCCTGTAATTCGATTGCAACCAAAAAGCAAACAACATTTAATGCCTCCATGATAACATACTACTGCTGAGATTGAATAATTTAGCTATAAGTTATTGTAGCTAAATGCCGGACCGAGTCAGTTTAAGAAAAATATGTAAGAATATGTTTGAAATTATAAGTTTTTGACCCTTATTGCATGTTGCATGGTAGTACACATTGATGTTTCCTTACCAGTTGTAACACTGTCAGACTTGTTTCTATTGAACGTTTTAGAATACAGCAAATTTTGGTAAAACCGCTTCTTATATACAAGAAAATAAAATTTACTTGGTTTTTATACTGTTAGATAAAGAGTATCCCTTAATTGCTTGACAGGGACGAAATCCTGCTTCCAAATCACATCAGTATCTATGTAAAATGAATTATATTTCATTTGGAAGATTGCCAAATCTGAGCCATTTAATTAATTTGCTGCGCAGAAATACTTAACCTTTTTGCAGGAAATTACGCGACCTTTCTAAATGCCATTAAATGTGCAAATTAAAAGACAAAGAAGATAGAGAGGATTTTTAATGTGTTTGATGTCATCAACTTCCACAGTTGCATGCATTGTTTTCGTCATGTGTATCCTACACGATGAAAACATAGACATATTACATAGCAGTTTTTGAAATATTTTACTCCTGTAACATTTCTACGGAAGTCTCTTATATTTAATATAGTAGAATAATTTATTTCAGTATTTAGGTTAGCGATGTTGTGGTTTATATCTACATGAACTTCTCATCTGAGATTGAGGAGAGTCAAATATTCTTTGCGTGGATCAAATGATCATAAAGTTTTTAAAGAGAAATAGAGAACGCTTTAAGATATTCAAATATTTCAGTGGAAGTTGGACTATGTATCAAATAAAATAATTATAGTCTTATAGTCTTGAAGAGAATTTCTGAAAAAATGCCCTAATCGAATATATATATCAACTTGATATTATCAATTTTACATGTATGAGGAAAAGAAAAGGAGTTAACACAGACGTCTTTGTCTTCATTTTAAATATTGAAATGTATGGCCGATCCAAATCTGGATTCTGAGTTATAAATGCTAAGAATAGTTACATGTTCAAGGTAACAGTGAAATATAAAGATAACAAACAATAATCAAGTTCAAAAGTTCATTGAAACAATAAAAAAAATTGTGAGCAGAGTGAACACGGACCTTGAGCTCTAAAGACATCAGAGATGTGATTAGGTGTCATGGAGGATTAAATATCCCCTACCGAACAGTCACGTCCACAGTGTGTTCTTTGTCATGATCGGGTAACCGGAAAATTGGTATAAAATTCAGTGTTAAAAATGGCCCAATCTGATTAAAATCAGATCTAACGATAGATTATATTTGCAAACAAGATCATTGTATCGACCACATAATTTGCAAAATGTTGACTTTAAACGAGATTTTTTGTTGATGTCCTTGTATCATCAATTTAATCGTCAAAAGCCTGCCCTCGTTTCAGAAATTGTTCATCCATAGAACATGCTCTTGGGTATCAAATTAACTGTGAAATACAAACTCCATATGCAGGTAATAACGGTATATTGCTACATAATTAAGGAAAGATGATGATAGGAAAGTTAAATTCATCACATTTATCATAAACTTAAGTTGTCAGTTTGCCATCAATGACTTTCTCTAGTAAAAGTTTCAACTATGAAACAGATGTGTCAGACTCTGTTTTATGTCTAATCAACTTACGAATAGAAATAATTGCTGTTAATTGATAAAACGTTGTCGATATATCTAGATGTTGAATTGAAGACCATGACAAGAGACTTCTTCCTTTCATTTAAAAGTTTTTGAACAAATTCTGTTTCATATGAATACAAAAACAGATCTGAAAATAACGGGGCACAGTTAGAGCACATGGGAATTCCAACAGATTGTTGGAAAACCTGGTCTCCAAAAACCACATGGATATTGTCAATGAGAAACTCAAGCATCTTTTTAATATAAGTGTCGAAGTACTTGTGCGTAGATTAAGAATGTTTCATTAACAAAATAAATCTGTATATATATGGCCAATGACAAGGTAAGCAAATTTACTAGTTCTATTTTTATTGAAGAAGCAGTTGTCTATGAAGTCAAAGTGTCTGGTCTATAATTTATTGTGGGGAACGGTTGTATAAAGTGTTAAAAAACCTACATTTTAATGCTATTGATATTGTTTAAAAAAATTATTTCAAATCCTCTAAGAATTCCTTGGAGTTTCTAAGTATTCACAACTGAGTAAAACCACTTCTCGAATATGTTGTTTTTACATGCTCCTGGAGTTTCTCCTTCACTATTGTTAATGTTTTGGTGATGGGTAACGCAAAGGCTTGGTAGAACATTTACTCGAACCCGCTATGTATCTTTGTTTGAATCGATGTTTATGTAGTTTAGGAATCCAGTATAGGTATGGTAATTCTAATTAAATTTGGTTGTTGGAAATATTAAAATAACATATGATTTTGAAGAAATTCCTCCTTAGGAAGGAAACTATTAGCTGGATTACCACTTGCAGAATTTAATCCAAATTTCTCTAAATTAGAAATTAAAAA